TCTTCCAGTTTCTTCAACGCTGCCTTCTTTGCTTCTGATGTGTACCCCAAAAGCCGCCTTTGGGTGCTGGAGATTGTCTTAGAATACTCGATTTTTTTCATTATCAAAATGTTTGACTGAGATTTTCTGAGGTAGACAATTCTGTAATTGGATGGCTTGTCGAATGAAAGGGAGGACCTTCCGCTCAGCTGAACAGCAACAATGCCACCGACTTTGAGAGTGCGATCAATGAATTCTGAGGCTGCTCGGAAGTTCTGCGTGAACGTTAAGTCAAATGACTCGTTAGGGATTGAGCTTTGTCGTTCCAAATCCGTGAGAGAAATGAATTCCATATCACTTCTCCTCAAGAACAGAGAACAATGAATGGCCTCTTCATCATCATTGCTTAGCATTAGTCCTTTGTTTCCCATTTTCAGAATGCCTTGCTTGCTCAAATCACGAAAGATTAATGGCAAGAATTCCAGATTGACGGGATCAGTAGAGCCAACTTCAGGCTTGATTGCATCAGCAGCAGGGCTTGCAGATTCCTTGCTAATAATTGATCCTATTCGTAACAAAGGAATTAAAACAATGGTCAAGGCCAAGATCACCATGAACTGAGACCGAAGCTTAAAAATCCTAGAATCAGGGAGCTTGACGATCAAATGTGTATCAGCAGGCAAGCTAATGCCACCATAACACAAAGGCTTGTGCTTGTCATGGCATGTGGTTTGGAGTCCATCAATAATTTGGACAGCCATTGATAGAGACTTCTTTGATAAAAATGGGCTTAAAATTTATTCAATAAAAATAAAAAAACGGATCCAAAAACGTCTTGTATTGAGTAGGTGAGAAAAGAAATAGTATGAGATAAAAAGGAGAGCCAACAAAGATTATAATCGGCGAGAGGGGAGAGGAAAAAGCATTTGAGAGAGGCAAACTTAGCGAGTACAAAACCGAGCAGCGGTGTGATTTCCACCCACGAGAGCAACAGGGCTACTTTGCAATCTAGACCAAAGTAACATCAACTGCCTTATCCTCTGCACCTCCATTCCTTGACCCTTTCTTGCTATCCCAATTCAAAGAATGGATTGCATAATGGATTTTAGCGGCACATTTTGAACTCTGAATTCACCATGCCCTGATCAAAGAAACATGGAGGCGAAGCGATCAGGGGGAGAGAGAGAGAGAGAGAGAGAGAGAGAGAG